AGGGGCCGGGGCTCACCATTGGTGTCCTCCAGGGCCTGGATCATGTCGGGGTCCAGGGCGGTGCTGACCAGCATCTCCACGTAGCTGCGGTACATCTCCTTCATGGCCCTCGTGTTCAGCACCCGCCCCGGCGGGGCCCGCTCTGCGGGACACGGCCCCTTTAAGGGGCGGGGCACGGCGGGGACACGCCCATGCCCGGCCCGGGTGGGGTGGAGCCACCCCAGACCCCTCCCCCCCACCGTTAGCAAGGGTTGGAAAAAGAGCGTGGTCCCTTTAAGGGAGGGCCACGCCCTTCTGAGGCATAGACACGCCCCTTTACATGAGAGCCACGCCCCTTTATATGAGAGCCACGTCCCTTTTAGGGAGAGCCACGCCCCCTCCAAAAAATCGCCCACTAGGGATTTTATAAAAGGGGCATGGCCCCTTTAAGGGGAGGGGCATGGGGGACACGCCCATGCCATGCCCAGGTGGGGTGGAGCCACCACAGCCCCCCCCGTTAGCAAGGGTTGGAAAAGGAGCGTGGTCCCTTTAAGGGAGAGCCACGCCCCTTTTAATCCAGGCACGCCCCTTGAAATCCAGCCACGCCCCCTCCCCTAAACGCACACCCTAAATGTTTTGTAAAAGGGTTGCTGTCCCTTTAAGGGAGAGCCACGCCCCTTTGAGAGCCACGCCCACCCCTAAAATCATCCAATAAAAATTCTGTAAAAGGGCTGCTCTAAATGGAAGCCACGCCCACAATTCAGACCCACGCCTCATTAGCAAGGATTGGAAAAGGAGCGTGGTCCCTTTAAGGGAGAGCCACGCCCCTCGGAGGCACAGCCACGCCCCCTCCCCAGAAATCACCTGCTGGGAATACTGTAAAAAGGGTGCGGTCCCTTTAAATGAGAGCCACACCCCTTTTAGTCAAGCCACGCCCCCTCAAAAAACCCCATCCACTAGGAATTTCGTAAAAAGGGCATGGCCCCTTTAAGGGGAGGGGCACGGGGGATACGCCCATGCCCTGCCCAGGTGAGACAGAGGCCACGCCCACAATATGGAACCACACCCCTCACCCCATTAGCAAGGATTGAAAAAGGAGCGTGGTCCCTTTAAGGGAAAGCCACGCCCCTTCCAGGGACAAACACGCCCCTTTTCATGAAAGCCACGCCCCCTCCCCAGAAATCACCCGCTGGGAGTTTTGTTAAAGGGGTCGTGGTCCCCTTAAATAGGAGCCACGCCCCTTTAATTGTGCCACGCCCCCTGAAAAATGACCCACTGAGAATTTCATAAAAGGGTTGCGGTCCCTTTAAATGACAGCCACGCCCACGGCCCAAAATCGCCTGCTGGGAATTCTGTAAAAGGGTTGCTGTCCCTTTAAGTGGAAGCCACGCCCACAATTTGGGCGACCCGCCATTAGCAAAGATTGGAAAAGGAGCGTGATCCCTTTAAGGGAGAGCCACGCCCACCATGCAAACCACGCCCCTCAAACTCACCACGCCCATCATAGCCCCGCCCCCTCTATGGCCCCGTATACGGGAAATCCTCTTCCGGTGCAATCCCATATATGGGCAAAGCCCCGCCCACCA